AATGATGTATTGTGTAGATAATATACTATGTTTGTGTGTTTTGTGTTGCGGAAGCGGATGAAAGCTCACTGTCAGATTAATACCATGCAGGGTCAACAAAGAATTTCTCATTAAATTTATTTTATCTCATCTTTTTGTCTTTGACGCTTTCCCCAGGCATTGTTTTGAATTGATTGTATCAGAGGAATGTTATAATATACAGTTTTGCATGTCTTATTGAAATGCTGTATAAGTTGTTGAGAATGGTACTCAAGCTGTGAAATCCTTTTCAATGATATTTAGGCGGAATCTTTTTCTTGGGAAGATCCATTCATATGACTTCTAGTTTGAGAGAAATGTTGCCTTCTCTTTGTAAATTATAGTAATAGTTGTTTCTTTTTTAAAAATTAAGTCATACATATTCAACAAACTATGACGTAAGTTTTGATGTATTTTGCACTATCATAAACAGCATAATGTGAACATGATCTCATCCGAGCAAAGGAATGAATGGAGAACCATGATCGTCGATGTCTGTCGCAGATCTGGCACTGAATGATGACTGCTTTAAAATGTCTTGCCACAAAACATGCTGTGACCAATAATTTTATACAGCTTTGAGTCATCTTTTCTTCAACGGTGTACAGACTGGGAACTAAATAATGAGATCTGTTTCGCCTTCTTTCTTGTCTTGAGTAGGCCTACAACATGTTTTGTCACAAAGCCCATCATTTGCTTCATGTGCATTACTTTAACCCTATCCGTACGCCCTGGGGTTATTTTGTACCCCTGGGGTTGTATTCTTCACATTTTAGAATACTTCTGTTACTACGTCTATGGCGAAGATCTCTTTGAAACTTTCAGTATTTCTCAAAAGATCATTTTGACAGACTGCTACGCAATGCGTACGGATCAGATTAACAAGTAAATTTCCTCTTTGGAAAGTGGTGGCATAGTAAAACACGATGTACGGATAGGGATAAGTGGTGTCACAGAGTTCCCCACGTCGTATGGATACGATAGTAAAACACGACGTACGGATAGGGTTAAGTGATGGCACAGAGTTCCCCACGTTGTATGGATACGATAGTAAAACACGATGTATGGATAGGGTTAATCCTGCAGCTAAACTTGTTTGAATTTCTGTACTCTTAACTGCAAACACACTTGTTTGAATTTCTGTTCTCTCAACAGCAAGCACACCAAACAGTGCTGTGAAGGTGACCCCAATGACCTCTTTCCCGGGCTGGACCATGTTGTTGAAGGGAGTGTCCGGGGTACCCGGGGACCTCGCCCAGCTGTGGAGCTCCAACAACACGATGAACCCTTCCAACCCAGCAGCAAGAACGCTGACGGACGACTTCAAGGGTTACTACAAACCAGACGTTGCAAATGCCTGGGACCAGTGTCAGTTTGAGCAGGTATTGTGTCCAAACTGGTCTATGATTGACTGTCCCTGTGGTTTTATGCATATCGCATAATTTAGCAATATTTGATCATTTTTTGCACAATTTCATTTTTTTCTTCTTTATCATTCTTTGTTAAAATTAACAGAATCGCATAATTTCACATTTTTGGGCTCAGTTTGCATAATTTCAGAATTTTTCTTGCATAAAACGACGGGGACAGGATTGAGTGGAAAACAACTGGAAATAGTTGAATTTTCATCACAGATACTGCACTACGAGAAGATTCACTCTCTTTTAAAAAAAAAAATCGTGTCGATTTGCTTCTCTTTACTCAAGCTAGGCTAGATTAACCTTGATGTCTTACAAAACTTCAATTCCATAAGTAAAGTACGTAACTTCATTGTCATTTACTTTCATAAGTAAAGTATGTTACTTCATTGTCATTTACTTCCATAAGTAAAGTACGTAACTTCATTGTCATTTACTTCCATAAGTAAAGTACGTAACTTCATTGTCATTTACTTCCATAAGTAAAGTACGTAACTTCATTGTCATTTACTTTTTTAGTTTTTTTCAAGATCTGTGCTTGTTTTCTACCAGGTCAAGGTCTCTGTATTCAAAGATGGACTAGAGGTGGGCAACATTGTGTTTGACACACGCGGGGTGGACAAGAACTCATGGTTCCAACCCAACCGTATCGTGTCCAGTACGTGGAACGACATCAAAACGGCGCCACCAGGAACCTTCACTATTGCTAAGTATAAAGCTTTATGTACATTTCTGTTATTGTTTCATGTTTCCTTTACACTTTTTGGGTGGGTGGTTGGTGGGTGCTCTGGTGTGGTTTGCTTCTTCTTTCTTATCAAACATCTATGATCTATCGTCTTTATCTCCCCTCCTTTTTTTTGCTTTTGTTACTCTCTTGTAACACCTCTAATCTTCGGCACTTATATATGACCTTATTGTGTTGCAAGTGCCGTAGAACACTTACTAAAAAATTTTTTTTAACACTTTTGGCTTATTTTTCCTTGTAAAAGAAGTTATTCATACTTTAGTGTTTCATAGTCAAGTGAACGGCTCTTCCCTATTTGAATGGAGTTATTTTTTAGTAGTGAATCAAAGAAAATGGAAACATAAGGAAATGGTGGATGGAATTGTTTTAAATATTGTATTATTATATTTAAATATTATATGAAATATTGTGGTTTATCTGAGTTTGAAAAGGGGGTAAAAAAGCATGGCAACTCTGGTAGTCTCTTTAATTCATTTTTGTTTTAATCAAATCTTAATCATTAGTGGTGATAATTTTTGTAAACATTCATTTTTTAGTATTTTCAGATTTAATTATTCATTGTAGTCTTGTGACCCTTTCCAACACTACAGTTCATCACACATCTTGTTAGTATTATAGAGTTTATAATATCCATCATTAGTGAATCTTATCGATCTGGAGTACAGTCAACATTGAAGCATACTTTAACCCTATCCGTACTTCGTGTTTTACTATCGTATCCATACGACGTGGGGAACTCTGGTCCACCACTCTCTTGTGACACCTCTAATCTTTGGCACTTATATGACCTTATTGTGTTGCAAGTGCGGTAAAACACCGACTAAAATCCTTCTTTTTTATGTTTGTTACTCTCTTGTGACACCTCTAATCTTCAGCACTTATATGACCTTATTGTGTTGCAAGTGCTGTAAAACACCTACTAAAATCCTTCTTTTTTTATGTTTGTTACTCTCTTGTGACACCTCTAATCTTCGGCACTTATATGATGACCTTATTGTGTTGCAAGTGCAGTAAAACACCTACTAAAACCTAAATGGTATGGACCAATTGTTTGTACCCGATGTTTCAACACTTGTTTCTCTCTGTACATTGTCTCTTGTACATGTTTCCACACTTGTGTGTCTCTGTACATTGTCTCTTGTACATGTTTCCACACTTGTTTGTCTCTTGTACATGTTTCCCCACTTGCTTGTCTCTGTACGTTGTCTCTTGTACATGTTTCCACACTTGTTTGTCTCTGTACATTGTCTCTTGTACATGTTTCCACTCTTGTTTGTCTCTTGTACATTGTCTCTTGTACATTTTTCCACTCTTGCTTGTCTCTGCACATTGTCTCTTGTACATGTTTCCACTCTTGTTTGTCTCTGTACATTGTCTCTTGTAGGCTACATGTTTCCACACTTGTGTGTATCTTGTACACGATGTTTCAACATTTCTTTGTCTCTTGTAGATTGTCTCTTGTACATGTTTCCACATTTGCTTGTCTCTGTACATTGTCTCTTGTACATGTTTCCACTCTTGTTTGTCTCTGTACATTGTCTATGCACATGTTTCCACCCTTGTTTGTCTCTGTACATTGTCTCTTGTACATGTTTCCACACTTGTTTGTCTCTGTACATTGTCTCTTGTACATGTTTCCACTCTTGTTTGTCTCTGTACATTGTCTATGTACATGTTTCCACCCTTGTTTGTCTCTGTACATTGTCTCTTGTACATGTTTCCACACTTGCTTGTCTCTGTACATTGTCTCTTGTACATTGTCTCTTGTAGGGGGCCTACATGTTTCCACACTTGTGTGTCTCCAGGAGTCCTTTGACCGGACGGGAGTTCTCCGTGTCTCCGACCGCTGGTTGTGACGGCCAGGGCTGGCTCTTTGTGTCCACCACCAACTCCTGCAGCTTCGAGAGTAGCAAAGGTCCAGCTCCACGCTTCTTCTTCTCCCTGGGCCCATCTGTCGCTGATCTGGCCAAAGGTGACATTTCTGGTAGCATTTTGTTTATATTTTAAACCGTCTTTGGCAGTCAGAGTTTTTGTCAATTATTCAAACTTCTATAGCAGTCGGAGGTTTATTTTGCTTCCTAAATATTGATGAGCCTAATTCTGCAGCTTACTGAAATGAACCCCGATTCATAATCAACAAAGAAGATATTCAGATTAGAGTGTCTCTCAAAATGTAGAAAAGTCCATTTTTAGAACTAGAATCGGAAGGATTTCGTAACGAGCGACCACCTCAACAAACCCAATAAAGAAGAAACCTAACCCTACCGCTACCCCTAGCCCTCTATTCTACTCTGTCTCTCATAGTGGTCGCTCGTTATGAAAGTCCTCCCCTAGAACCAATGAACTTTCTACTTGATGAGTAAAATATGATTATTTCCCTGCTGCTCTTCCACAGACAAACTTGGGGAGGCTGATGTCCTTGCAATCTTTGGGAAAGGTGGAAATTGTGAGTAAAGAAGAAAGCATGTGGTATACATTCTTTGACACTTTGATAGTCTTTGGAAAATGTGAAAATTGTTGGTAAAGAAGAAAGCATGTAGTATACATTCTTTGACGTTTTGATAGTCTTTGGAAAATTGTTAGTAAAGAAGGAAGCATAGTATTCATTTTTTGAAAGTTTAAAAATTGAATGTGAAGCTAAGATTACCATTTGGCCAAATGAAAGACTGGCTTGTGTTGCAGAGGTGCCAATATTTTTACTTTTGTGCAGCAATATGACAAAATGAGTCACTTGATGCCCTCAGAAATCCCTAACTTCAAGTGACTCTTTGGTACCAAAGCAGCAACACTTATTCTGTTTTCACTTACTTGTATGGTTTGAACATATTTTTAACTTGATCTCTACGGTGTTATATTGTCAAAATGCGACATGTAACTCATTTTGTCTTGTTGCTATAAAAAAAAAAGTTTATACTCTTACTACCATAAGATCTACATTTTTTATGAAAAGGTTAAAACTTCATTATGTGCTATGCATAATGTATAACATTTCAAAACAAAAGACTGAAAAAAAATTTTCATTTACCCTCTCAAGGAAATTTATGATATTCGTATTGTATCCTGTTTTGTCAAGTTGGTCGGGAGGAGGAAGAACAGCGTATTGTTGGAGCTGTGACTCTTTAGACTTTGTCCAATTAAAACAAATATGGTACAGTTTTTTTCTTCCCTCTTGTTTATTCTTCATGTTGACATTCCTTTATTTCACAGGCAATGGCGGCGTTCTTCCCCCAACCTCCCAGAAAACAATTTGTAAGTTGGATGTTCTTCTTGAGTTTGTCATTTCTGCGGTGTGCACTTAAAAGCCTTTCATTATATTATACAGATGTGTATTGTAGATTAAGTTTAGGAGCTGCAATTGCAATACAAACACACTCGAAAACTGCCAAAACTGTGCCTCAAGTGCAGCAAAACTCTTACTAAAAACCAAAGATAGTACATAACAAGATAGTTCACTCAGCCAAAAAAGTGTCCACGGAAGTCCACTCATTGCTTCAGATGGCGCTGCAGTCTTTGTTTTGAAACTCTCTTTCGTTTCTCCAGAAGAAGAATAGGAATAGTACCCCCCTTGCGAGTGCAGATTGACCGCTGTTCATCAGCTGTTCGGGTTCGTTCTGCGCGGAGTATTAGGTTTTTCTATTTTAATGACCTCTCACCTCTCATTCTTAAGTCAAATTAAACGAAGAAAACAGTCGCTCCGGAAGAAGTTTTTTGTCAGCGTAACCATTTTTAAAAAACGTTCTTCCAAAATTTGAATTCTTATTTATTCCAAAACTTGTTAGTTTCACTTTGATTTTTTTCACACAAGTAGGGTAACTCTGGTCACAAAGGGTGCGCATTGCAAAGAGGGCGCCACCGAATTTTGAAGACACTTTTTTAATTGGCTCAAAGAGAGGAATGAACGTTCTTGTTATGTACGATCATTGCTAAAACTTAGATGATTTTATTTAGTCATTCACATAAAATAATCAAGGGCTGTTCATATGTTGCCGTCTCTGAAAAGTCTCCTTCTTAAATGCAGCCATCACTAATAGTGCCTCACTTCTTTTTATTTAGTAGAGGTTTTACGGCACTCGCAACTGCATAAGGTCATATGAGCGCCAAGGGGTGGATGTCAACAGAGAAGTCTTTACTGGGAATCAGGCTTACTTTGCTCACCTCACTAGCTTCAACAGCACAAAGACTGTTTCGACTTTCAAGGCACCCCAGAAATAGCGGGTCACAAGAGAGTGACAAACATACAAAAGAAGTAGAGGAAAAAAGGACTATAGTAAGGATTAGGAAAGAAAAAGCAGCAGTTCCCTGTTGTAGATTAGGCACAATTATGAGCGTGACATTGGTGAATTAGCCCATTTACAATTCTACTGTGCATGAACAAGAAAATTAATGTCTCCTCTTTGGGAAAGGGAATTATCCCATTTACAATTCTACTGTGCATGAACAAGAAAATTAATGTTTCCTCTTTGGGAAAGGCCTAAAGACACTTCAGTCAGTGGCACTGCCCCAGGGGGGGGGGGGGCCCACTTCAGCAGAAAGAAACCATGACTAATAATAATAAAGATCATTCTTCCTGCACCTCTATACTTCCTGGTGGCCATAGGCGCTTCACAATAATATCTGATTTAATTTTTTAAACAATGTTTCATGCCTACCGGTCCATTCAACGTACAGCAATTCTTTCTAATACTCATGGCGGGTTCAGGGGTTTGAGCTGCGGGCCCGACGTTGTGTCCTTGGTAAAGGCACTTCACATAAATTTTCCTCACTTCACCCAGGTGGGAATTGGTACCCGGCCATAAACAGCAGAAGAACTGGTCAGTATGTTAGTGTTTTAGCGCCTATAAATGGTTGCTTGCACTGTATGCTTCCCAGGAAGTTGAGGTTGTTTCAGAATGCTCTCAGGTCTGCTGGGGTAATAGTATAGATTGTTAAGCGCATAGAGCTTGCTGTTGAGGGGGGGGGGGCGGGTTGTGTACAAATGCTATCTATTATCATCTATTATATTATACGCCCGTAATCTGACATAGAACCCATACACTAAAAGAGAGTCACTGTGCCTAATAATGACTCTTGTTTCTGAAGTTAAAATCAGACTAGTTACTACTATGGGATTTGGTTAATAATGTGTTTTTAGACCAGATTTAAATGCAATCAAAGTTGACCACACAAATCTTCTTGATTACGCCCACAATATGTATTTTGTATTCATATTTATAATGCTCAATGATAATGGATAAAGCTTGTATTGTACATAATTATATCCTCTCCCAACAGCAAGTTCTTTATGCTTTACATGAGTAACACACTTATTTGGCAAGGAAACTGCAGAGCTTCATAAATGGATGTCTGAGAAAGATAGTGGGGATCAAGTGGTACTATCGAGTCACAAATGCTCAACTGTGGGAAAGAACAAGCAAAAGGCCAGTAAAGGAAGACATACAGGTGAAGAAATGGAAATGGATTGGGCACACCCTGAGGAGACAAGCATCATCAGGCAGGCTTTGACGTGGAATCCGTAAGGAAAACGCAAGAAAGGAAGATCAAAGGTGACATGCAGGCGAGCGGTACAAGCGGAAATGGAAACAGCTAGAAAAGGATGCACAGGACAGCTGGAGAAATGTTGTTGATGGCCTATGCTCCACTGGGAGTTAAAAAGGGCAAGAGAGAGAGAGAGACACTTATTTGAGATTTTAGCTAGGAGAAGCAGTTTGACATGGATAGTGGTCATTAGGTGCTTGAAAAAAAAACAAGACCAATAGACAGAAACAATAGAGGGAGAAAAAAGAAGTGCCTACCATGAAGAAGGTGCAGTGGTGGAGCGGTTAGTGCGCTCTCTCCGAAGCGGAAAGTCCAGGCTCGAGTCTCGGTTCAGACACAAATATTTTTTGCCCCCTCCTGCCCATCCAGCAGTAATGGGTACCTGACTTTGAGGAGGGAAAGTAAAGGCGGCGTGGAAAGGAACTGGCCACCCTACCACAATATGCCGAAGACCCAGGAAGTTGTCTCACAAACAAGGCAATCCCCAATGTCCGGATCGGATGCGGGAACAACTTTACTTTTTACTTTGCACAGCACCCTCCAACCACCCACCATACTCATTTGTGTAAAATAGTTTTGTCTAGACTCTGTTGATGACATATAACTGTGCTGATTCTGTCTCCTCAGTGACAGCCTGCACGTACAAGGGCCAGAGCTATGGTCAAGGAGCTAAGTGGTCAGATGGTTGTGACCTGGACTGCAGCTGTGTCAACGCATCCACGGGAAGATATATCTGTGCTGAAAAGTAGGTCATCATCATCATCATCATCATCATCATCATCATCATCATCATCATCATCATTGTCATCATCATCATCATCATCATCAGGAGGATGGCAAAGATATGTTTGAATGTCCAGGAACAATGGCAATTCGAATGGAGTTATTTGGACGAGTGGGGCTGCCGCTTAGCATATTGACAATGGAGCCGAAAAAAAGCCTCTCTCTCGCTCGAAGATTTCTTCGTGGAGTCTGCCAGGCCCATTAAGGAAACAAAAAAATTATCATCATCATCAGCATCATCATCAGCATCATCATCATCCGGTGCCCTGCCGACTGACATGGGCGATCATGGACCTCCACTTCACTCTGTCTTGCGTTGAAGCAATGGTGTCTGTTGTTCTTGCTGCTCCCAGCCATGTTGTCATCTTGTCCGGTATCTTTTTCCTCTGTCTGCCTCTGCATCTCTTTCCATCAAACTTGCCTGTTGTTACAATGTTCTCCAATGCTTCTTTCCACATTGTGTATCTGAATGTGATCAAAGGCACTGCCAAAGTGTCGATTTGATAGAGTGTGGTTGGAGGTATTATTTGGTATTATGGACTTGGAAGTATGTTATTATTGGGATTTAAGTTAATCATCATCATTGCCTTTCTCAGCCTGCACCAGGGTATAGGCCACGAACAAACACTTTCCACCTTTCTCTATCTTGGGCTAGCCTCTTGATGTTATTCCAAGTCTTCCATCTTTTCTGAACATTGATTTCTGATTGAAGCTAACGGCAGGTCATTATAAAAATAGATAATAATAATAGATAGCATTTGTATAGGGCTCAACAGCAAGCTCTATGCGCTTCACAATCTATACTATTACCCCAGCAGACCCAAAAGCATTCTGAAACAACCTCAACTTCCTGGAAAGCATACAGTGCAAGCAGCCATTTATAGGCGCTAAAACACTGACATACTTACATAGACACTGTCTATGGCTGGGTACCCATTCCCACCTGGGTGAAGTGAGGAAAATTTTTGTAAACTGCCTTTCCCAAGAACACAATGTCGGGCCCGCGGCTCGAACCTCCGAACCCACAACCTCACGATTACAAGTTCGGTAGCCAAGTTGTAGAAGTGTGTTGTTATAGACACAGAAATATGTAATTGTAGACACAGAAGTCTGTCATTATAGGGACTGAAGTTATGGTCAGGTCATTATAGGAATAGAAGTGTGTAATTATTGTTCGCATAGAAGTATGTTGTTATTGGGACTAAATTCTAGAGCACAGTCATCCTATTCTAGAGATTGGTAATAGTTGTGTCTTGTCGCGTTCTAAAAATAAAAGTGCCATGAGTGTGTTATTATAGACACAAAAGTACCTTTTTTTGTCCCCGTCGTTTTATGCAAGAAAAATTCTGAAGTTATGCAAACTGAGCCCAAAAATGTGGAATTATGCGATTCTGTTTATTTTAACAAAGAAAGGCTAAGGAAAATAATTTAAAAATTATGCAAATAATGATCAAATTTTGCTAAATTATGCGGGTGCATAAAACCGCAGGGACAGATTATTGTAGTTGGCATAGAAAGTTTGTTATTACTACAGGCACCGAAATGAGTTATTGATACTTGATTACTTGATCCGGGAAACAAATAACATCCTAGCACTCCGGACATTGCCATACGTGGTCCGCTTCCCGCTCCAATATCCACCTCAAAGTCCATCTGCAGCTCGCTCCGGTGTTCATTTGGTTAATAACCCGTCTTTCCATCCCCTGTACCATGCTGGTTCTGCCACTTCCTCTGAAGACACCCAGTTCTTCAAGTCGTAAGATAGGCGCATAGTCATGCTCAATCTACTCATCTTCAAGTGTGGTGGCAAGGGCCTTCATGACATCATTTTTGCCCATTTTAATGTCAGTATTGACAGGTGCATGACTCGCCAGTTTGTCTTCAGTTATTGGAGGCTCAGAAGTACTTTGTTTTGGACACAGCTTGTCTGATTCATGGAAAAAGTGTCAGGGCTTTGTATGTTGTACTCCCACTTGTATGCTACTAGGTTTTGAAAAAAAAATTTAAGACTGAAATATAATATGTTATGATCATACTAATGTTATGATCTTACTGTTCCTATTTTAACAAAGTGGATTGTTGCAGTGAGGAGAATTTTGTGACTCCATAGAGAAGGGAGGACTGATTCACTTAGCATTGAACTGGGAGAAAAAGCTAGTGTATTAGTTGCTGAAAATTTTTGTTGCTCAGAGGAGAAATGGTGGAAGATCAAATTTTGCTAAATTATGCTGGGTGCATAAAACCATGGGGACAGAATAACTGCACATGCCCAAAAATTGACGAGTGGCAAATCCCTCCGCTTCGTGACACATTTTTGTGTTTGTTCCCCCAGGTGCCCCACCTACCAGAACCTGTCTCCACAATGTCAGCTGAAGAATGTGTCTGGTGGATGCTGTCTCGAGCCAGTCTGTGGTGGACTTGTGCTTCGTAAGTGGAAATTAGGGTGCTCCAGGGGCTATTAAGTAAGTAGTGAGTTTAGACTCAAGTAATGTCAAGCAAGTGTTGGTGACACAGGGCTCCAGTGGCTAAGTGAGTAATGAGTTTAGACTCAAGTAATGTCAAGCAAGTGTCGGTGACACAGGGATCCGATTGGGCTCCAATGGCTAAGTAAGTAGCGAGTTTCGACTCAAGTAATATCAAGCTAGTGTCAGTGGCACGGGGCTCCAGTGGCTAAGTAAGTAGTGAGTTTAGACTCAAGCAATGTCAAGCAAGTGTCGGTGACACGGGGATCAGATGGGTGGTCACTGGGATGTGTCCTTGATCAAGACACGACAACCCTAGCTCAAACTACAGGGCGCTGCACAGTGGCGAATGACAGTGGCATTGTTTGTAAACTGTTCTGTATTTGTGTAATAGTGTGTATTTATGTATGTATTTATGCATGTATTCATGTAAGTACGTATTTATAATTATATATTTATGTATGTATGTTTGCCATTGTGAACCAAAGTGCCCTTCTGGGACTAATAAAAGTGTAATTTATTTTTTATCTTTTGAGACCTTTCAACTGTTGGTCATTTACTTCTGACAAGCAATTCATTTCTATGACTTATACAAACGAGAGAATTGGATTCATTTTTTGGGGCTATAAGAATTTTCAAACACACAATGAATCATTTTGAAGACCATATCATTGAATACACAAAGGAACTTCTTCAGAACGGAAGCGAACAAAAGCAATAGACTTTACGCATGTTTCAGTCTTGAACCTGAGCAGGAAATTAAGGTTTTTGTCCGGATATATGTGAGGAACAACAATCCATGAATACAGAGTATTGTCCATTTTGTTTAACCCTATCCGTACATCATGTTTTACTATCATGTCCATACGACGTGGGGAACTCTGTGCCACCACTTTCCAAAGGGGAAAGTTACTCGTCTGTCCGATCTGTACACTTTGCATAGCAGTCTGTCAAAATGATTTTTTGAAAAATACCGAAAGTTTCAAAGAGATCTTTGCTCTAGAAGTATTCTAAAATGTGAAGAATACAACCCTGGGGGTACAAAATGACCCTCAGGCATACAGATAGGGTTAATCCTCCCAACTTGCCTCCTTTCACCTGATGCCATGCTTTAGATTTGCCCACTATTTCTGGTGATGAAAGGATTTTTTTGGGTTAGGATAAGAAGGAAAAGGTTGTGGTTTTAGGTCCTGTGGCTTAGGATTTTGGGAGATTAGTCATTATAATGTGTCGCCTTGTTCCAGAGAATGGTAATTATATGCCTTGTCTTATTCCAGAGAATGATCATTGTGTGTTTTGTCTTATTCTAGAGAATAGTAATTGTATGCCTTTATTCATTTAAATGTCAGATGAGTCGTTTCTGTTTTTAAAGTTATAAGATGAATATTTGGAGTGATTTTCTTTTAGTCAGAACACAACATTTTATTATACTGTTGTACGTTGTACTGTATTGTAAAGCGCTCAGAGCCTGTGTACTTTAATCAGGAATAAGCACTATATGAATGTCAATTATTTTATTTTTTTTGAATTATTATAATTATTGTCTTATTCAAGAGATAATCATTGTATTTCCTGTCTTATTCAAGAGATAATCTTTGTATTCTTTATCTTATTCGAAAGATAATCCTTGAATGCCTTGTCTTATTCAAAAGATAATCCTTGTATGCCTTGTCCTATTCAAAAGATTATCATCGTAATCCTTGTTTTTCTTAATTGTCTTATTCCAGAGAATAAATGTTACTACAAGGGTTCCTCCTACAGTGAAGGAGCGCAGTGGTCGGACGGCTGTGACTTCGACTGCGTCTGCTTGAATGCAACCACTGGAGATTTCAAGTGCAAGAACATGTGAGTGCTTCAAAGATCTTTCCGTCTTGTGATAGTGACAATTAAGTACGAATTTTTTTATATTGTTTGCTATACTCACCTGTAGCTGATCCCTGTTTTCCTGTTTACCTCTTGCTGGCTAGTTTTCCTCCTGTTGATCTGTTTTCCTTTGTAGGTCTGTAATTTCCTCCCACTGATCTCGATTTTTCCTCTCTTGATCTCTGTTTTCCTCCTGTTGATCTCTATTTTTCGTCTTTTGATCTCGATTTTCCTTCCTTTGATCTCTATTAGATCTCTATTTTCCTTCCATTGATCTCGATTTTTCCTCTTTTGATCTCAATTTTTCCTCTTTTGATCTCGATTTACCTTTCTTTGATCTCTATTTGATCTCTATTTCCCTCCTCTCCCCCAGCTGCCCCCCATGGAACCTCCCGCCCGAGTGCACCCTGCAGGACCCAGCGCCAGGAATGTGTTGCCAGACGCCCAAATGTCCCTATACCTGGGTTCCCCCACCTGGATACGTACCGAGATAGAAAGTCTTGACATATATGGCAATGGGCCTCGTTGATCACAAAACTTGCTCGTTGCGGATTAGTTGGAGTGGTAGTTTTTCAGAAAAATCACAGGAAAGGTTGTAGAAAAACCTCAACAAAAGATCATTTGACATTGTACGTAAATACTCTTTTGTAACTTTGCAGCATAGTTTTTTTGAGTGAAGTAAATGTGAGGCATCGTGGTGAAATCAGGGGCTCGTCAAAATTGCAAAATTGGAGAAACAGGCATTTCCCCACCAGTTTCAACGTTGATGAAAAGTTCAAAATATGTAATTTTTTCAGTTTTCAAGAACTCTTTAGCTATTGAAGTTACTAAAAACTTTGGCGCCCATTTTCTCACTATTTTTACCTCTGAAACCAAGTGAACTTACCTCTTTCAATCACAAATATTTTCACTTCTGCTCAAGATAGACGTGTATTTTTTCATTAAAAGCAAGATAAATGAACAAGCTTTAAGGTGATACAATAACTCCTCATGCACAAAAATTGACGAGCGCCGGATTCCACTGTGTTGTGACACAAATGGTTAGTTTGTAAAATGACTGGTGATAGACAATTATACAAAGTGAGTCTTGCGAGAAGACTGACAACTGACAGATTTTAGAAGTTAGCCCTTTTTTAAATGACTTTAATTGCTGAGGTTTTTTTTTAAATTGTAGTTTTGCCGAAAGAATTTAATTTACTGAGAAATATATGATTATTGTACTGTCTCTGTGAAAAGATTATTATCCAGGGGGGGGGAGGGGGGGGGTTGAGGTTAGAGTAGTGTACTTGTGATATCTTTGTGGAAAAAAGATTCAAATTATATATTGATATTGTTTGTTGCCAAGATAGATAAAGGAGGCTCAAAGATATAATATGTGTACTTTTCCTTTCTATTTTATGGTTCAATGCGATTCTGCATGTAGTGACAATACTTTTCTCTGTTAATGCTTTGTTTCCTGAAGACATGAGTATTAGATTGTTTTTTTAGTTTCATCTTTTTTTGTTGGCCCTGTCCAATGGCATTTAACATTAAAGGTTGTGCCTTTCTATCAAATATCTGACTTGTTTGGCTTTTGCTTCTTAACCCTATCTGTACGTCGTGTTTTACTATCATATCCATACGATGTGGGGAACTCTGTGCCACCACTTAACCCTATCTGTACGTCATGTTTTACTATCATATCCATACGATGTGGGGAACTCTGTGCCACCACTTAACCCTATCTGTACGTCGTGGTTTAATATCATATCCATACGATGTGGGGAACTCTGTGCCACCACTTAACCCTATCTGTACGTCATGTTTTACTATCATATCCATACAATGTGGGGAACTCTGTGCCACCACTTAACCCTATCTGTACGTCGTGGTTTACTATCATATCCATACGATGTGGGGAACTCTGTGCCACCACTTAACCCTATCTGTACGTCATGTTTTACTATCATATCCATACGATGTGGGGAACTCTGTGCCACCACTTAACCCTATCTGTACGTCATGTTTTACTATCATATCCATACAATGTGGGGAACTCTGTGCCACCACTTAACCCTATCTGTACGTCGTGGTTTACTATCATATCCATACGATGTGGGGAACTCTGTGCCACCACTTAACCCTATCTGTACGTCATGTTTTACTATCATATCCATACGATGTGGGGAACTCTGTGCCACCACTTAACCCTATCTGTACGCGTGTTTTACTATCATATCCATACAATGTGGGGAACTTTGTGCCACTACTTTCCAAAGAGGAAATTTACTCGTTAGTCTGATCCGTACGCTTTGCATAGCAGTCAGTCAATTATTTTTTGAGAGATACTGAAAGTTTCAAAGATATCTTCGTACTAAAAGTATTCTAAAATGTGAAGAATACAACTGCAGGGGTACAAAATGACACCAGGGTGTACGGATGGGATTAATTAAGTTCACTCCTGACAAAATTGAATACACTTAGCATGCAGAGACTGTGCTCACCATTTCGGAACTTCATAGCATACTGACCTTAAAGATGCTTCCAGTAGGGAACAAAATAGAGGGTGCCCATGTCCCTCGTGACTCATTGGAACAGAGGAAGATAGGAGTAACGCTAAAAAAAAATTTTTTAATCAGTTAACAATGAGTAAACGTGCATCTCCTCAATAATTATTGAACACCATCTCACATCATCACTCACAACCACCATCATATCTAAAATCATTATTGCTCTCAGATCCTTGACATACATCTATATTCCTATAATTTTTGTCTGTAAAGGTTACACGTTAAAATAATTAAGTGCTTAATACACAGTTGGACACTGTTATACACACCTTTTTCTACAAGTCAGGTGGCCTCAGCCTCATAGGAATGGGCAAGGGACAAAAAAAAAGAATACTGGTATATATACGTTTTGTCTCTCGCCCATTTCATCATAATTTCAGCAGCTTTTAGAACACTTTACACTTACACAGCTTATTGGTTTTACTTCTTCAGCCTTCTTTGTCCATGTTTTCTGAAACCTCTGGCTATGAATGTATGTATTTTAAAAAACCCAGTAGGCCCTATGTTCCATTTCTGTGTATAAGTGAATAACTTGAGGAAAAAATTAACAAAACCATAAAAATTTTATTTCAAAATTTCCTCTCAGCATCAAACAAAGTAATTTCAGGTTCTGACATGAAATGTATTTTTTTTTTAATTGTAACAGTTTTTGACTGCTTTGTCGTAAAAATGCATAGCAAAATCAGCCAAACTTGCAATGAAATTAGTTCATGTAATTGGCAAAATAATGCTGTGCAGAGAAAAGAGTGAGATGAAAAGGAATAGTAATATATGTAATATTCACAGAAAAACTATGTAGAATTTTCAAAACAATTATATTACATATTACACATGTAATATATACAGTCAAACCTAGTCAAACCACCTCCCTTAGAACGAACATGAAGTTGGTGAAACAGCGGGGCTGGCGGTTCAACGGGGTTCCTCTGTTGTACAGCCCCGACTGCCCAACGTCAAGGAACATGACTCTGCTGTGAGATATTTTTGTTTGAAAAGTGTCTTTTTCTTAGTGATATACATTTACATTTCCGGTACATGTAGCCTTTTTTTTCTCGTCACTGACATGCAAGCACTGCGACAGAATCTGCGTTTCAAACATTGGAAGAATTAGCCATGAAAGAAGCTGCATGAAGACAACCTTGAGATCATCGTAAGCTAAATTGACCGTCTGCATAGACGAAAAGAGCCATACTACTATACTACATGCACGTGTATTCAGAGCCGGGAGTCTTCGAGATCTCCCTCTCTATCGCCATGTCGTTCTCGTGGCTTTGATTGATTTGCTTTAGTAGGTGTTTTACCTATGAAAAAACATAATATTATCACAACTGAAAGAGCTGCGGAGCTGGCCAACATAAAAACCTGCATCTCCCCTCGACGCTTAACGGCAACAGAGGATAAAAAAGTAAAAAAGTAAAGTAAGGTGTTTTACGGCCCTGTCGACTCAATGTTGGTCATGTAAGTGCCATCTCGTGACGTGGGAGAGAAAGTATACAACGTAATCAAATAGCCAACCATTGGGTGGTGTGTGCAGTGTGTACCTCTGGCGGTCAGCTCACTGGCGGTATGGCGGGGCAAATTAATGTACATGTACTTTAGTTAAGGACTATAGTAATAGAACTCCGACAGTTGGCAGATGGCGGTGTGGCGGGGTAAATTCTATATTTATATAGGTTCTCGATCCTCTTCGTACATTGGTAAAACTTGGCGGTTTTTGGTGGTATAACAAAAGGAGTGGTACAACGAGGTCTGACTGTATAAATCCTTCTCTCTCTCTCTCTCTCTCTCTCTCTCTCTCTCTCTCTCTCTCTCTCC